AAAAAAAAAAAAAAATCTGATAAATTCATTTCTGTCCAGCTTCAGAAAGACTCAGGAACTGAAATTAATAGTCCTAGTGTGTCCCAAAACTGGTGGCCCGAGTTGTCTGGTTGGAACAAAATAAAACCTTATGGTTAATTGGAGTTTTGCATGTTGCAAAGAGATGAAAAAAGAGGGCTGCATGGCCAGGGAGGTGGGTTTTTTTTTCTTCTTCTCATGGTTCCTCTCCAAGCCTCCTTTTCTTCTCCTAATTTCAGAACTCCATCATTCAGAGAAGAACTGAACATTTCTCCAGGAGCCAGAAGGGACAAACCCACATTGGAGTTCCCTCTGCAAACATGGATCTTTTTTCTCAGCCTTGATCTGATCTATTCTATGGTCCTTTGATCTGTCTTGAAGATCAAAGGCCAAGGCCTTGAAAACTCATAAAATTAAAATCGGTTAGAGTAAGGCACACAGAATCCTGCACCAACCATCTGTTGTTAAGTTGAGGGAATTCAGAAATTAACTCTCCTTACCCTAACCCTAATTCTCTTCATTTGTTATGTCAATTGTCAACAGGGCATTATATAGAAAAAGTCTGGCTGAGTCAGATTGTCAGAGCGAGCATATACTTCTGGACAGTATGCAGTGGCTTTATGAAAAGGACCAAGTGCTTCTGACAATGAGTTGTGATGCCTTTAAATGAGAGTCTCCATCTGTACTCTGCATTCAATTGTTTCAACAGCTGCCAACAACATCACAATCTCAATTTCTGCAAATACTTCTATGAAATCCTAAGTGATGGTTCAAGAAAAATAGCACTCTCTTCAGCACTTACAGAGAGTGTGTATCTAGCTGGATCAGAGCATAAGTGTCCTGATGGATGTGACATCACTTGACACCCCACTGCTACCCATGGATCACGCCTGTCAGCAGAGGCACCCTCAGGATCTGATGCTTTCCTCCTAATAATGAAAGGAACACTGCAATGATGCAATCTAAGTTGTGTGTGATGACATATGCTTGGGGTGGACCTTATGCTGTAAAGGTGCAATGGCGCTTTTATCATTTGCTCAGCTTTGATCCCATTATGGATCCCTTTGCGCATCAGAGGTCTTCACAAATATATTCCAGGTTTTTCTTAACTCTTTCATAGGGTGGATAAGGCAGAGCAGAATTCCACCAGTATCTCTGGATTTTGTGTGCAGCAGTTTGGCGGTTTGATTGCAGACGTTTCATTACCCAGCTAGGTAACATCATCAGTGCTGAGCAGAGAATGTGCAGAGAGCACCAAGGACTCCACAGTTCAACCCTGAGCTACATATATTCTCTTCTATTGGCAGAAAGTTTATATAATATACTGTACAATCTATGTCATTAAAATGTCAAATTGGAGTAGAAAAAGTATTCAGCATAGAACAGGGAAAATAAATCAGAGAACAGAAATGTCGTCCAGATTAAGGAGGCCTTGGATTGGAACATCTTGTCAGACTTCCCCTTAATTGAATTTAGAGGATAAAGTTATATTCTTAGCAAATAAGTACACTAGTCTTTCATATGGTTAATATTAATGTCTCTCTATTCAAACATGCTAAAAACTGAATAGAACAGATAACATATAACAGTCACACATCCTTTGTTGGATACAGAGAGCATTGCTAACACAAATGGAAGATTTCCCACCTTTTTAGATCTTCAACTCTCATGTCAGTTTAAAACAAAAGCCAAAACTAAACAAAAAGAAAAAGATCATTGGACCATTAATACATTGCTCTTCTAAATTTGCTGTATTCAAGAAAAGTAAAATGGTGTTATGTTTTAAGAAAGGCATTGCCTAAAGTAGTGAATTCTTTCTCCAACAGAAATCATTCAGTGTGTTTCCAACAGACTTTTTAAAGACAGTTGGGAAGCAAAAATGTTGGATGTCCCCCTTCCCAGGCATCACAGCCAACTCTATATTTATAGTCTATGTCAATAGAAGCCCTAAGAATTACCCAGGCGTAAGAGGGCCCCTGTTCTTAGTTGAAAAGGATTAGAAAGGTAATTGTTGTTACTTTGTGGGGAATACCAGGTCTGTTATGAATTTGCCCTCCAGTGTGACTTTACTGAAAACACACATTAAAGATTTCAGCTTTAGAAAGTTGTGTAAACAAGGCAATTCCATCAACACTGGGAAGGGAGAAAACAAATTGTTTGTGCACACTCTTTTTAAAAATATATAGTCTAATAGAAGAGGGCTTGTGTGAACGGGAGAAAAATAAAACATCATAGTTTTCAACATCTTTTTATCCAGTTCATTTCACAAGAGGCTAAAATATTGCTTTCTACAGATTCAAGATGGAAACAGAACTGTGGTATTTGGAGACTCCACTGGGAGAAAATGTCAGAATCACCTAACACAATTTATTTTTTTCCCCATATGCTCTGGCTTCGGATCTGAGTGTTAATGTATTTCATCTAAATTGTGCATATATTTTAAAATATATGATTCTGCATTAAAGAGGGAAGTCTGATGACAGATAGATAGATAGATAGATAGATAGATAGATAGATAGATAGAGATGATAGATAGATCATACAGCATATATATATATATATATATGCTGTTATATATAAATAAAACAGTAGAGGTGTTTCTTTCCTTTAAAAATAAAATTAAAAAAGTACTAATACATAGGCTGTTACTGAACACAACTTCTTTATTCTGATGCCATAGTGTGGTTCGTGGTTAAATAAAAACAATACAAAATAAATTTCAAGTGCTTAAGAAAACCCCAACTTATCTATTTTATTTTAAGGACTTGATACTGTGCTCACCCAGAAATCCCCTTAAATCAATGAACACTTTTTCTAAAACCACTTTGGCTCAGCAGAATGCACAATGTATATAATTAGCATCTGAATACAGATAGATGCTAATGGGCCCATTAAGATTCAGGGGCACCACCAATTGCCGCTTATAGCTCTTTAAGGGCAAATCTGAATGATAGCTCTGGACTTTACAATTTGCAGAGAGTACATAACCATCCTGTGCCTTTGTAACCTCAGAGGTTAAATTAGTGTCTTGCCTCTACGGGGCAATGTGTAAATTCTTCTAATGATGTTGCAAAGGAGCAGAGAAAACAGGAAGTGCATTTCTCGTTTTGACATCCAAAGGTCTTCTATGCCTAAGAAACCTGTTTCTACCAGATATTAAAGTCAATGACAGAGGACCTGAAGCGTATACAAGAGGCTGCGAAGTACGCATAGAAGTCCACAGAGGCTATTCCATTTTCTTGGATACCATGAAATTCTTCAGGAATATTGTGAGAAAATTAAGCCTTACTTTTTGACAGGGCCAAAGAAACTTTGGATCATGACCATAGGTGGAACTAATGGGGATATCAGAAATGGAAATGACAATTGTAAATATATGCTTAATAGAGAAACACATTGGATCCTTCAGTTCTTTGGGTAAGAACAAAAACAGATAATGCATATACTTGAACAGTTCCTTGGAGTTGACAACATTGTAACAGTATCATAACTTTCCTGGCAAAATAATGTAGTTTAAGGGACCTTTCTTAATTAAAAAAAAATCATAAGATATAAATATAATCTGCATACTTGCCATGTTTTACCTTCCTTGCAAGGGATATAGATTTCAAATTTAAGGAGTGAAAGAAACAATCTCAGAAGTAGATCCTGAAGATAAAACAAGCAGAAGACTGTCCTAGATTTTCGCTACTTAAATAGTGGTCTTTTGAATTAAGCTTTCCAAACTGGGGGAAAGAGGAAAAAAGAAAAGAAAACTGTACTGTAAAACAGTCTTACTCAATCCGGCATTGTCCAGACAGTGTTGAATTACAACTCACAAATTCACAAAATTCCCTTTCGCTGTACTGCCTGGGAGTTTGGGAATGGCAACCCCAAGTGATCTGGGTAGAAAAGGGAGTTGTAAAGTATTTCTACTTGCTGAAGTATTAAAATGTGAGTCTTGACATGACAAGAAATATTGGAAGTCATACAGGAGAAATGTATACTTGCATTAACATAGAGAAAAGAACATTCCACTGAGGAATGTTACTAGACTTACCTAAAAGCACTTCGGGATTTTCTTAAAATTTTAGGAGAGAAGACACTTTCAAAAACTTTTCAAAATTCCCTTCACTGTCACCTTCATAATAAATTTCATTAACCCAGGCAAATGGTTGGATTACTTGTGAAAATGTTCCTATTTATTTATTTATTTATTTTAGTCTCTGGTTTAAGCCAATGTTCTGAAACCTAATCTCCTTCAGAGATAATGGTCATCATCTCCCACACAACATGGCAGCCAGGGGTAATAGGAATAATTCAAGGAATTTGGAGGGATGTGGAGAAAACTACTCGGGGTTGTATTTCAGTGATATCTCCTTTGTACTTGTTTTAATATTGCAAATCTGTGGCTCAGGGCTTACAGTGTAGCAACCACCGTGCTCACTGTAGATCTTGAACGTCAAATTGTTACCGAGGAACTTTAAGTCATGAATGACTTGTAAGAAGTGGGAAAACCTCTCAAATGAAACCCACCTAAATCAGTGGGAGTTTAGCAAGGCTAATAGCTGTACAGCTTCATTTCAGCGAAACATGTCCAACTGACGGTTCCATCAACAAAGTCAGGGAGAATATGTAGGCTTGGAAGAAGCAACAGAAGAAGAGAGATGGGCAGAAGTGAAAGAAAGGGCAGAAGGGGAGAAAGAAAGCAAACTAGAAAGAAAGAGCAGAACTTCTGGTTAAGGGTAATACCACCTGGTTACTCTTTCCGTTAAAAAAATATTTTGTTAAAAAAGACTGAGATGAGGGCGACAGACTATTTGGTTTCTTCTAAGTAGATGTTCTTAAATTAATGCATATAAATAATTTGTAATTTCCTCTCTTTCCTGTTTAGCAAAGCTTCAAATGCACAGAACCATACAGCCCCGCCCCCCTCTTACCCTCCCCCAGGTCAAAGTCACTTGATCAACGCTGAGTCTCTTTTCGATTCACTTTTTAAGACAAACTGTGCCTCTCGCTCTGATTTTGCCACAGGGCTCATAGGCAGAAAAGCTGTGTTTTCACTTCTACTGTTCTCTGCGTTGGCCTTTGACAGGTCAAAGTCATCTGACCTCCTTGCATCGGTCAGAATTTGGATCTGTTCCTGGACAGTTTCTAACAATATTTTGACTTCTTGTTGTTCTGCAATAAGACAGCTGCTGGCTGGGGCACTCACGTTGACGATTTCAGTGGAATAGGAGTTTTTGCACCATTTGATGCCTGTTATATCTGAAATGTTTTGAGTCTGCATGCAGGCTTCATCTAAGCCCACCGAAGGGATGATGGGAACAGAATTGGCTCTTGGCGATGGGTAGCCCACCATGTTTTTTTGAGCTGCACTATTGAAATAAGAGCTTGGTTCTCTTGAAGGCAGTTGCATATTTATTGAAGTGTTCTGTGATCTTTTTAAACCAGGAGATAACCTAAGGAGGGAAATATATGAGAGTAATTAGTTAACAAGATACAGCAAGTCAACATGACAGATACATTGATGTTATTGTTAAATAAAGTTTCATGCAGTTCCCTCAGTTTCGGCTTGAGCAACCGTACTGTGCTTAATGGAAGATTTCTTGGCTGTTCTCAGAAAACTTTGCTTCCACATGTCCTTTAATTTTACATCAGGGGGACTAGCCCATTGATATTTTGAAATGGGATATTCCAATTCAATATTCCAAATTGTGAATTAACCATTTAAGTCATAATACAAGTCTCCAACTGTAAGTCAAAGTTAACTCTAGGGTTAGGAACAAGGTGTTTTCCTTGAATCTGTTGTCATTCAGCAGTTTTACATTGTCCAAATTATTTTTGTGAAACACTGAATGTTTTAATTAGCAATTAGCTTGTCCAATGTATTAGTGCCTTTTTTGCCCATTAATTCCAGAAGAATGGTTTGCCAGCAATCTTCAAGGTTGGATTGTCTCATAATGTCAAGTTTTCATGACAGTCTGGATCAAATCTGAATCACCTTCTCAACATATTCCAAATGTGTTTTCAAGCTTTTGATACGGGAAAAGCAACTGAATTATGACTAAAATAGGAACCAAGACCCTGCTACAGTATTAAAGGGAAAAGATAATAACTTTCCAGTGGTGCCTATAATGGTTTTTGAAATAAATTGCTTGAGTTCCAGGAAGCAATAAAGGTCAAAGTATAAGTCTGATGGTATAATTGAAAAAAATATGTTTAGGGCCTGTTCTGTGTTGACATCTTTTTGATTTAATATTCATAAGGTTGTAAATAGGGCATTGAGAAAAGAAATAAGGGTCAAAGATGTGAATGTGAAGTTAAATTATATTCCAAAAATTTGGAATCTATTGAGGCATGAAGAATTTTAAATGCATTGACTATGAGCATCAGCTAGGAGAATGTTTTTCTCTGGTAGAAAGACTCCAGTGTATTTGACCTAAAAGAAGTTGAGTTTCACTGCATATATAATTGTTCTTTTTCTTTTGGTTACACATTAAAAATCAATGAAAAGAAATTAAAAATTAGTTTAAGGGCAACCAAAGTGGTCTGGGAACAGGATTCCTAATGGAATATCTCCTTTTATCAAGTAGTTATACAGATACTAGATATAGTAGTATCTATATACTACTATTTAAAATACAGCAGCTGGATGTAAGAAATATTGTCTGTAAGAATAAACTATTAAGGACTGTCCAGTAAGCATGCTGATTAGCCAGCTTTGCTATCAAGTCTTTGATGTCAAGATTACATCGTATTTATTAGCTAGGCTATTAAGCCTAGGTCTACCAGATCTAGGCTGCAAAAATCTGGATAACCGTTTGGGGACAAGAAGACATTAGGATTTTATGTATCTTGGCTCTTAACTAGTGATTGCCCTGATTTTTACAACCCAGATCTGGTAGACCCAGTTAGATGAAATAGTGGTATCCTTTTACAATGAACGCAGGAGAAATAGTACACATGTCAGGACCACCCAAAATTTTGCAGGCTGCTGAAGGAGAAGCAGATAGTGCTGGGCTTTGATGGGAGGATATTGTGGAGATCCATGTAGCTGATGCTATCAAGCAGCAACAGCCAGTCTATAATGTGGCCCTGGTTGAGCAGGCTGATGTCAGCAAAACACTCAGCAAGCAGAAGTAGAATAGCACCATCATGTTGGACCTATTCTTGAGGCCACCAAGCTCATACGTGCTGGCATTATCCTCCTCTTCCAAATACTTTTTCTTGTGAAATCTGTCCTTCGATGCATGAGGAGCTTCTGCTTGGTGGATGTTCCAGTCCTGGAGGACATTGTGGGGACATTTATAGAAAGTATTTGGCTGGCATTGTAAACCTTGGCTGAAAGGGAGTATGCGTGGGAACAATATCTTCTTGCAGCAGTGGAAGAATGAGGTTAGGTGGTTAGGATTTTCCAGAAAACTCAAGATTGGTGACAGATGAAAATGGAAGGAAATATTCTTTCATCACATGCAGAAGTCAAGGCCAGGTAAGGTCCTTTAGCAGAAACCACAAACGCTCTCCTTAATGGGAGTAGAGGGGAGGGCCTTTGTAGTTGAAGTTTGAGGCAACCAAGCAAGGAAGATGGGGCATCTGTTTATGTTTAACTCCGTGATGATGTCAGGGAACTCTATAGTGAACTACTGGAGTTGAAGTGGCAGAATCTATCCCAATTTGGTCAAGACCCTCTGCCATGCCTCCCTCTGAGATGATGCCCAACAGAGCAGATGTTATATTAACCCATTTTACCTTCTTCGACCCTGAGTTAGTGGAGTAGCTAATGTTTCTGAAAATAATCCTCAAGCTTCTGGAATACCCAGGCTGAATCCTCAGAACAGGTGAGTGTTTCCCCTCATTCTGCTTCTGCTTCTGGTTGTAGTTTAATTATTTGTTTCTCTACAAGGCATGTTCAGCTCCAGGTTTGCAACTCTGACTGGTCAGGATGACATTGGTTTGGGGCAGTCTTCAAATACTCAACTTTACTCATTTGGGCTCAAGGAATACTTAAGCTTCAAGTACTCTCCCATTTTTTTAATGAGGCCTCAAGATTTAATTCTGAAATCTTGTGTTTATATTGTATATTCAAGGCCACACTCTTTCCAGTTGCATGCCTTGTGTGCTCACTCTGTGCTGTCCATGCCATCTGGGCTGTTGATCTAAGAAGTCTGCTGAGTGGATACATATGTCATTTCTTGCTCATGTGCCCACCAAACCCTGCTGGCTTGTATGCCCACACTTGCCTCTTTGCTGGTGCCAGCCTGCAGCCTTTCTGTCAGTGCCTGCCGTGTCATGACAACCCAGCTGGATTTTGATCAAAATGGTCCAATGAGTAACTATGAATGTTGCATCTTGCTCTTTTTACAGCTTCCAGGCTGCACACCTGCTCCATCTGGCATAGTTACTCAACTCTGAATGGTACCTTCACAATGCCAGACTCCTTACCTATACCAGCTCTATTGCTATTTGGCCAGCTTTCTCACCTGGCAAATTCACTGAATAATACCTTTTCTGCGCCAGCCTGCCTCCACCAGCCTGGCTTTCTCTCTATGCCTGTTGGCGTGCCTGCTTACACTTGTCTTCTCAAGTGCCACTTCTGGAAGCTTCTGAAGACATAGAACTATGCCAACCAGCATTACTACACTTCTGGCATTTATCTGCAGAAAATGACTACTGGGGAAACAAACTCCTTTTTCAAGATCAACCCTTCTGATTGCTTACACAGAACAGGGCCATCAATCCAAAACCCTGTGGGTTTATGTTCCACTGAGACTTGCCCTCATCTGCATAATTCCAATAAGAGGGTGATGTTTAAAGAAGACATCCCAGTGTTGGCAGTTAAGAAAGCCATTCATCAGAAAGTAGAAGACATGTGAGACCATGTTTTTGGAAACCCTGGGGAAGGCAATTGACATTTTTCTACTGTATGTCTTTTTAAGCCAATGTGTATTCAGAAAAGTATGTGGAAAAGTAAGGGTTTACTTTTTAAAACCAGTTATTGAACGTTTTTATTTTTAACTTGAAAAACAGGTGAATACTTTCTGCATTGGTCCAGTATATTAACTTTAAATGTTTGTTATACAGTTAGGAGTTTGTTGTACTGTCCTTCACTCATCCTGCTGATGTTTTTCAGGTCTGAGGTCCTCTAACAGGTCTACCACCCCAGGTGTTATTATTGTGCTTCGCTCCCCTACAAATGAAGAAGCTGCAGGGATTTTGATCATTCACCCATTATGGCTCACGTTTAGTTCTTCCACCTCCAAATCCCAAGCCACAAAACTAAAACTGAATCATGCCATCTCTGAATCGTGACTCTCCAGCTTGTGCACCACTAGAATCAGCCTCATTGCTTATCTTGTCTTTCCCTTTTGCAGGGAAGGCATGGCAAACCTTAAATTTTCCAACTCCATTTGGCCTCCTGCAAGGAGAAATGGATGTTGTTGGGAGTACAATTCCATACAGTTTCTGGGTTGTGTGTAGCCAGTCTTCATTCACAGTACCACAGCCTCCCTGCCAGCTAACTAATTCAAATCCAGAGGATTTACTGAACTTGAGAAATGAATGTGCAGACTCTGACACTAAATGCCGGCTAGTGTCTGAGTTTGAATTCACACCTTCTCTCAGCCATGCACTTCAGCAGTTCTGCTTGGAAGATAAAGAAATGGATTCGTCCTTTGAAAAGGCAAAGTCAAAACTGGAGGCCAATGGAGCATAAACATGCTGGGCGTCTCCCCAGCAGCTCTGATAAAGGGCTATAGTGACCACAGAGATTGGGGAAGGTCCGTGGAAAAGAGGCAGAAGATTTAGTTTGTCTCTAAGAAATAGGTGAGTGTGTTAGGCAGAAGCTGTGCTAAATTTTACTTTCTTTTGCTCTCTGTGTTAAGTCTAATATTCTTTATATCCCCATACTACCACAGGAATCCTGTGTTCGATGACAGGCATGAATCCTTCATATTTCAGAAGATGTAGTATTTTCCTCCTTAAAATTCTATCATCATCATCATCACCATCATCACGTCTATCACCACCACCACCACCACCACCACCATCATCATCATCTTCATCTTGTTTGTATTTTTTTTTAATATAAATTTTAGTATGTTTTCCAAATGGGGTCATGAAGAGTTGGACACGACTTAAAGACTAAACAACAACAACGTTTTCCAAAAAAGTTAAAATACAGAAAAATCAAGAAAAAAGGAAGGGGAAAAAAAGGAGGAAAAGAAAAAAA